CGGCCGGGCGGAGGGGGGCGGCGGGAGGGCTTCCGCCTCTGCCGGCCGGGCGCGATCCGCCCTGAGCGCCCGCCTCCCGGTAGGCCCGGTCCGAGGTCTGGCAGTCAGTGACAGAGCCGGGCGCCCACGGCCCGAGCGCCCCCGGCGGCATCATGCCCGCGCTCCTGGAGCGCCCCAAGCTTTCCAACGCCATGGCCCGGGCGTTGCACCGGCACATCATGATGGAGCGGGAGCGCAAGCGGCAAGGTGAGCCGGGCCCGAGCGGGAGGACACAGGGCCCCCCCCGGGGCGGCGCCGCTTCCCCGGAGCAGGCCTCCACCCCGGGCCGTGCAGCGCGCCGCCGCGGCCGCGCCGCAGGAAGGATGAGACAGGCCCGCGGGTGGTGGAAGCCGGAGGCCGGGTCTCCGCTCCAGAACCCTTGGGTCGGGAAGGACCTTGGAGAGCACCTGCTAGACCCACCCGCCTGCCCCCTCCGCGGGGAAAGAGCCATTGCCGAGATAGGCACGAGGGGCATCGTGGTGACCGGGCCTCGCTGGCCCGCGGTGCGCAACAGGCCGCTTTGTTAACCAGCCTGCCGTTTTCCCATTCTGCCCGACTCTCTCTCCAGAAGAGGAAGAGGTGGACAAGATGATGGAACAGAAGATGAAGGAGGAGCAGGAGAGGAGAAAGAAAAAGGAGATGGAAGAGAGAATGTCTCTGGAGGAGACCAAGGAGCAAGTGAGCAAGTCCCCTGATCTCTCACAGCGCTTTCCCTCTGGCCCTCTTGCCTTCATCTCTGCTCCCCTCGCTTCTCAGATCCTGAAATTGCAGGAGAAGCTTTTGGCCTTACAAGAGGAGAAGCACCAGCTTTTCTTGCAGCTCAAGAAAGTTTTACACGAGGAGGAGAAACGGAGGCGAAAGGAGCAGAGGTGGGACTGGAGAGCTAAAAATAAAATCGGGGCAGGGTGTAACTGGGATCGGGTGACAACGACCGGCGTCTAGTGGCAAAAGGGGGCGCTTGTCCCCGACTCTGACGCGCCCGCCTTTCGCCCCAGTGACCTGACCACTCTGACATCAGCTGCGTACCAGCAGAGCCTGACCGTCCACACGGGAACGCACCTCCTCAGCATGCAGGGTGAGGAGTGGAGAGACCGCGTGGCCAAACGGGCCCTCCTGGGGGGTCACGGCCACCCCTTCCGGCCTCATGAAGCCCCTGTCCCTCCCTAGGGAGCCCTGGAGGACACAATCGCCCAGGCACCCTCATGGCGGCTGACAGGGCCAAACAGATGTTCGGGCCCCAAGTACTTACAGTAAGGAGTAGGATGGGGCGTCCGGCCCTGTTCTCCCCCGACCTCTCCCACCCACACCCAGGCGCCCTTAGTGACCCAGCACTCAAATGATGGGCGTTACTGGCGTCGGACCCTTCACGGTGTGGGGGAAAGCCGGGCACGGTGGGCCCCTGAGGGCCCGCCTCGGAGTTTACAGCGGCCAGCTCTGGTCCTCCCTCCTCAGACTCGGCATTACGTGGGCTCAGCGGCGGCTTTCGCAGGGACCCCAGAGCACGGTCAATTCCAAGGCAGCCCCGGCGGTGCCTATGGGACCGCTCAGCCCCCGCCGCACTATGGCCCCACGCAGCCGGCCTATAGCCCTAGCCAGCAGCTCAGAGGTGAGTGGTGGGCCCGGCGGGGGGGAGGGGGGACTCTGGCAAGACCCAGACCCAGACGAGGAGGCAGGAGGCTCTGATGGCCGTGCGTCGTCCCTTCCTCAGCACCTTCGGCGTTCCCCGCAGTACAGTACCTGTCGCAGCCGCAGCCGCAGCCCTATGCAGTGCACGGCCACTTCCAGCCCACCCAGACAGGTGACGACACCCCTGTGCGAGCACCCTGCCCTCCCCGCCTCCCCCGCCCCCGGCGGCTGCGTCACACCCCCCTCCTTCCCTCCCTAGGATTCCTGCAGCCGGGTGGCGCCCTGTCCTTACAGAAGCCGATGGAGCACGCCAACCAGCAGACCGCCTTCTCGGACTCTGTGAGTATGGAGAGTATGGGGTCTTGGGAGTTCAGGGGAAGCGCTGTGCTCAGGGGAGCCCCCGGCTGCCTCCGGTCCTGACTCTCCTCTCCGCAGTCCTCCCTGCGCCCCATGCATCCCCAAGCTCTGCATCCAGCCCCTGGACTGCTGGCCTCTCCCCAGCTCCCTGTGCAGATGCAGCCGGCGGGAAAGGTAAGGTCGGGAGCCAGGTGCGCCCAGACCCCCACCTTCCCACTCTCGGGGGGGGGGGGGGGGGCAGGCTCAAGGGCTTGGAGGGAGAGGGTGCTCCCTGACCGAACCCCCCTCTCGTCACTGCCACCAGTCGGGCTTTGCGGCTACCAGCCAACCTGGCCCTCGGCTCCCCTTCATCCAGCACAGCCAGAACCCGCGATTCTACCACAAGTGACCGTCAGATTTTATCTTCAGCCTCCCACCACCCCCTGCCGTGGGTGAGGGTCCCCGGTGTGTCCCGGTCCAATAAAATCTACCTGCCAGTGCCCCTGGCTGCTGCTGCCGTTTGTGTGGCCTCACCCGGAGGCGACCAGGGCTCTCTGGAGGGGCGGGGTGGCCGGCAGATGCACAGCACGTGAACGCTGGCCGGGAACGGATGGCCGAGTTTGGTGGACAGGATTTCGCATCTCCCCTCCAGTCCGCAAATGCCCATTCAATTCAAAGAAGCAACTGAATTGGGGCCTTCATATTAAACTTGTAGTTTTATTCAGGTTTGATTTTAACAAATGTGTCGGGGAGAGAGCCCACAGGGAAGGGTGAAGCCCGTGGGGGCAGGGCCCTCCCAGATGCCTGAGGAGGGGGCAGGTCCCCTCCCCTCTCCTCCTCTTCCCTCCCCAGCTAAAGGGATTTGGGGAGAGACACAGGCAGGAGAGGGGGCTGGTCCCCAGTCTGTGGGGTGGTGCTTGGGGTAAAGGGCCAAGGGGAACAAGGGACCAGAGCAGGGATGAGGGGGGAAGGGCACAAGGACCATTTGCCAGAATCCACAGCTTTCTGATTCCAGATTGAATTAAAAAAAAAAAAAAAAGAAAAAAAGAAAGAAAACAAAAAGCAAACAAAACCCACTAAACCACAAGCAGCACCCGCCCCCTCTCCCCGACCAGGACTGTAGTGCGAGGGGAGAAGAGGAGGACAGCTTCGCCAAGGCCACGGGTCACTCACTCCTGGCCAAGGGAGCAGGATGAAGGGCAGGGGCTCCCCGACAGATTGAGGGGGTGTGGGGGAAACCAAAATAAAACGTCAAATAAATTGTGTAGGAGGAGTCCAGCCCGGGGCCAGGCCGGAGCTGGGCCAGGCTGGGGAAGGGGGCCTCTGCAGGCTGGAGGATCACTGCTTCCGCCACCGCCACCCTGGGGAGGAGAGACACCTGGTGAGACTGGACTGTCCTGTCCGTGGTGGGGGGCGACCCTGCTGGGGCAGGAAGGGAAACCTGGACAGGAAGGGAAACCTGGAACAGGACCGAGGCAGGTTTTGTCTGGGATGCGGAGCACGTGCAGGGGCTGGGGACGGGCAGCCGGCACACTCACCTGGGAGCAGTTATTTCGCCATGGCCTTGATTGCAACTGCTGCCTCCTCTGTCATGGCAGACAGCACCGTGATCTGGGGGGGGGGGGGGGGAGGTCAGATATGAGGTCAGAGGAAGCAGTGCGAGGAGAGGAGCTGGGCACAAGGCCGGGGGGGGGGGGGCGTACCAGGATCTCTTCTCCGCAGTCATACTTCTGCTCAATCTCCTTGCCGAGGTCTCCCTCGGGCAGACGAAGGTCCTCTCGCACCTCCCCGCTGTCCTGGAGCAGCGATAGATACCCATCCTGGATGCCAATCAGCTGGGGGCAGAGGAGGAAGGAAGCTGCAGGTTGGCCCAGGTAGGGGGGAGGATAAAGGGTCTGAGGACAAACTGGTGGCAAACCTCTAACACCAAACCCCTTCTCCAGCCGTTCCCCTCTCTCCCGGTCAGTCTATGGCCACCGACAAACCACTAACCCACCTACATACCTGGAAATCATTCCTTTTGATGTTGGGGACATCCATATTATGAGTCGACGGGCAGATATCTTCATATTTCTTGCCAGTAAAGATGTCAATACCAACCAGGTGGACCTGTATGTGTGCATCACATGAAAGAGAAACCCGACCAAGCTCTAGGATGGAAAAGAGAAAGGCTCGAGGTGCTCCTGACTGGTGAGGGAAGTCCGACGAGGTTGTCAGGGAAAAGACCAGGGGAGCTGGAACTAAACCAATCAGCCCAAAGAAGCACTAAAGCCTTTAAAAAAGGGAGGCAGGAAGACTGCCCTTGACTTTGGGGTTGACAGCACAAAGAAAACAGGAGGGCAGGCTCCAAGCAGCCAGTTACCCTGAGCTACCAGAACACGGACCGATGTGCCCAGGGGACTGGGAGGACTCTACGCACAACATTTGGAAAAGCATCTGGACGTCAGCATAAAAGGTGAACTTGGGAAAACAGGAAGCAACAAGAAAGGAAGAGCGCTGAGAAGAAAAGGCTTTGGGGACAGAAAATTATGC